ACTTTGAAAACTGTATTTTTCGCATTAGTAAGATCAAAACTAGAATACTGTTCTCTCGTCTGGAATCCTTTCTATGAAACTCATAAATTACTTCTTGAAAACGAACAGAAAAAGTTTCTTAAATTTCTTTATTTTAAAACTAAAGGCAATTATCCTTATAGGAGTTTCCATATGAGATACTTTTACTAATGTTTGATTTACCATCCTTAGATCTACGAAGAATATACCTTGCACTAAAATTTCTCTTCAAACTTATACACAATCAAATAGACTGCCCTTCTAAGCAGATTAAATTTTTTCACGCCTAGGCTCTCTGCACGTACCACTCCTACATTTCATTTACATGCTGCAAATTCTAATATGTTAATAAAATCTCCTGTATCGTTTATTGTAGGTCTTACAATCAGATTAGTGCAAACTGTGAATATGTATGAACATTATATTTCATTATTTGTATTGTACTTTATATATTTGTTTTTTTTATGTAGGCTTTACTTTTGTCACATAATTGTTTATTCATTTATTTATGTTTGTTTGTGTTCTGTTATTGGAATACAACTTGTGTTGTATTCTGTTGAACAATAAATGTATTATTATTAAATGTTTTTTTACAAATTTTCAAATAATCTCAAATAATTTCAAAATAATCAAAAAACAAAATTGTAAACAAGCCGAAAAAAAGGTTTTTTTTTCATTTTGAAGAAGATTAGGCAATGTTCAGAAACAATATGTGCAATTGTTCCTGTAATTCTTTTGCAAATCTTTGATCAATCGGTCCGAGAAATCAGTTAGATGGATAGATTTAAAAATTATCAGGGTCGTGGGGGATCTTTAGGCTGTAAAACACCTAAAAACATTACTTTCCCCATCAATATTATTAAATATGCGATAGATTTACTAAAACAACGTAAAAAGTTACTTTTTTCTCTTTTCTTTAAATCAATGTTAAAGGTGAAAAAAAAATATTTCCCAAAAAAACATAAAAGCATCTGATAAGACATTTATTCCAGTTTTTGACACAATCCTTATATTCTCTGTGTAGTCTTTGGTTGCTGAGATATCGATGATCAAAGACAAGATAATCCTTTTTCATTTATAGTCAGATATCTCAGCGACAAATTATCGTAAAGAGAATATGAAGAAAGCATATTAAAGCTAAACAAACATGCTATCCGACTATAAATTGACTTAACTAAAAAAAAATCTCCACGTCCGTGGACCAAAAAGAAAACCATAAAAATTTAGAATTTTTTTTCTTGCACTATTACTTAGAATTGCGTGAAAAAAAATTGCCAAAAGATCTCAAAACTAGAAACTTAAAGCTTCAAAATGCTAGATACAACCATTTTTCGATGAGTTACAGCCTTTCAAAAATCACCAAAAAAATTGAGCAAATTTTTTGTTCCTTTTATAGCAAGTGCCAGAAATAAGTACATCAATTTCGCTTAATTTTTCTGACTAAAAGTGACTTTTTGTTTTGCAGCAAAGCCTCTCCCTAGTGTGACATGGTTCCGTAACGACGTGGTGGTGAGCAACGTCAGTGTGGCTTTACCACGAGCTGGAACGACGCACGTTCGCAGCGAATTGCGGATAACAGGTCTGGGACGTCGCGACGTCCACTCCGAACTCACCTGTCAGGCGTCCAATAATCCGAAAACGCCCCCTCTGGCCTCCACCCTCCACGTAGACATGAATTGTAAGTAGGGTGCTATTGACAGCTCCACCACATATTATATTGTAGTATCCCGTGGCGTTGTTGACCCATTCACCTGCAAATAATATTTCAAAATAATTCTTCGAGCTTTATTTTGTTCAGGATGGCGAAAATAAGTTTCAGTTGCACAAACAAAGTTAACCGAGTTAGGAGGAGGTGGCTGGCGCTTTATTTGTGTACACAGTGCCCTTTTTATGGCTGTTATGTTTACTCGTGACAAAGTGTCACTTTATAATGTAATTTTTCACGAGTTAAATAAACTTAAACAAACACAAGACTTGATGCCTTTTTATCCTTGAAGAAAAAAAATGGCGAACTTTTAATCCCTCGATTCTTTTGAAAACTTCTCATAATTCATTTAGAAGTCGGGAGATTTATCAAGATCCGCTTCGAAAAATAAATATCGCCCAACAAACAATCCCTCTGATGAAAATCTCTCATTCTTTTCGTACAAAGACTCGAGTTTTGAGACTTGGTGTGCTTTTATTGCAGTCGGCCCGCTCGATGTCAAGATCCTGGGGGCCAACCAGCCGCTTTCGGCCGGAAGGAGATACGATTTGCTGTGTCAGAGTTCCGGGTCGAGGCCTCCGGCCAGCATCACCTGGTGGAGGAACGGCCAGCGACTCGAAGGAGCCAAAAAGACGGTAATTAATAATAATAACTTTATTTAACGGTAATATCCTTTACATTAAGTAATAATAAAATTATAATAGAAAACAAGCAACACTAAATGACTAATTCAAAAAAACTTTCAGAAAACGCTTAAAGCTATTATAGGATTTAAAATTAAAAAAGTACAGGGTGCTGCATTTTGGATGTCAGAATAGGAAATTTCCGAAACTAAGAGATTTAGCCAAAAACGAGTATAACATTCTGGGGCTCATTTTTTGAGAAAATAATATTGGTTAAAACTGCATCCCGCAATCGTCTTTTGTTTTCGACTTATATAGACAAAAATTGACATTTTAGCGAAATCTAAAAAAATTCATATCTTTGTTATTATAGAAGACAGAGATTTGAAATAAAGACATTATACAGGCATTTTTTTACGTAGAATTTAATAATGTAGTTAAAAAAAAATCAGTTGTTTGTTTAGCCGTAATAAAATAAACTTGTAGTTTTTTAAATGGCAATCATAGATGGCTATGTCATTTTTAAAAAGCTTGTTTTTTTCTTATCTAAAAATATATATTTGTAACAAATTATGATAATACATTTTCAGCAAAAAATTATCTTTGATTTTTGTTCGCAGTTGGCCATGAAAAAAATGTTGCATCTTCAACTAAAAGGATTTAAACTATATTATATTCAACCAGTGTCACTAATGAAAGAGTTTTCTAAGTACAAAGTAATGGAAAAAATGCAAAATAAATTGTAAATCAACTTATTGGCGACTAATAACATTTCTTTGTTTTTAAACAAGCTAATATTACAATTGCAACTTCTAGTGATACATAGAGTGTTGTAAAAAAAGCCGCTTTAATTCTTCAATAAAATATATTTTATATGACACAAAAATGACGATATGGCTATTTAAATACCCAAATTCCGTCTATGTGAAACGTTATCCTACCTCCATTAGATCATCAAAAAAATGTTTTTCTAATTGTGTTGACTGTTGACACATTTATTTTTCCTATTTTTGGATTTTTTAAAAATATGTAATATTTTTTTCTGATGCGCTCGCATCAGTTTTTAAATTTCTATAATTGTATCTATTTTTTCATCTATTTTACAGTTCATAAAACTCTTATTAATTATTATTTACACATTTGGAGTGAAATAGTTTTTCCATGGCCAACTATTATCAAACAAATTATGTATTTCACTTTTTAAATATAGTTATAAAAAAATATTCTGTTACAAATATATATTTTTTAGATCAAAAAAAAATAAGCTTTTCAAAATTGCCAAAGCCGCCTATGATTTCTATTTAAAAAAATACAAGTTTATCTTATTACGGCTAAACTAATGACTGAAAAAAATTGTTAACTACATTATTAAATTCCTCGTAAAAAAGTGCCTGTATAATGTTTTTATTTCAAATCCGTATCTTCTATAATAACGAAGATATGTTTTTTTTACATTTCGCCAAAATGTCAACTTTTGTCTGTAAGTCGAAAACAAATAATATTAAAACAATATTATTTTCTCAAAAAATGAGCCCCAGAATGTATCACTCGTTTCTGGCTAAACATCTTAGATTCGGAGATTCCCTATTCGGACATCCAAAATGCAGCACCCTGTACATGTTACAAATTCTTAAAAGATCATATAGCGGAGAATTAAATAGATAATTATTATGAGCAAACGAAATTTTGAATAATTGGTTTGATCTGCTATTATACTGTGGAACGTGAAAATTAATTTAATTTAGTATTGAAGTATCATTAATCAAATTATTTAAAAGTTTATAAACAAAACATAAAGCCAGATATCTTCTTCTAATTTCAAGTGTAGAAATAATAAGGCAGCAACCATTTTATATATTTAAATTTTTTTAACTGTATTGCTTCAAGCCTACCAACATGAATTTTGTAATGTGGATTCCAGATTATCGAACCATATTCGAGGATTGGACGTAAACAAATAGCATTTTGATGGAATTAAAATTTCTAAACTCACGACAATAACATTTTATGCAGCCAAGTGCCTTATTAGCTCTACAAATGATAAATTCAAGGTGTTGAATAAAAGTTAATTTACTATCAAGTAATATACCTAAATCTCTCACAGACTGTTTTACTGTAATTTTTGTACTATTAATAAAATAATTCGTTAGGGTTGGAGAGATTTTCCTGCTGAAAACAATAGACTGACACTTTTCAACATTTAAAAACATTTTGTTATTTGCACACCAGTCTTGTAACTTATTTAAATCAGATTGTAGTACAGACATGTCACGAGATTCCGAAACCTTTCTAAATATCTCAAGATCATCAGCAAATATACGATAATCACTATCAAAATTACATCCTATATCATTAATAAAAATAATGAAAAGAAGTGGACCCAAAACAGATCCCTGTGGTAAACCTGACATGTGACCCCCAATTTTTACTTGCTGGAATCGATTACTCCCATTGTTATGATTATTTCGCGTTGTTATGCAAAATGTGCCGCGAAGGAGAACCGAAATTAACGATAACACCGAACATAAACTTTAAATTAATTAAAGAGCAATCAACAAAGCGGAATATGCCCCAAGCGCATCTGCTACTGGCATAATTCGAACGTTTACGGCTCTAGGTAGAAAAGTTACGCCGATGATTGTATTCTTAAACATATCAGCGGTAATAAGGGGAAAAATGCGTTTTACATGGAAAGCCGAAACAAAAAATGTGTATTAACATAATTGGATTCTTCGAGTTATTTTAAATAAGAGTTTTATAGCGATGTTTTCTGTAATAAGACAGTTATTAAACATTAAAAATTCATGAATTTTAAGGTGCACCCTACGAAATATTTCAGCGACTGTGGGTTTTCTTATTTAAAAAAATTCATTTTTTTTTACAAGCGATCTATTACCGGTTTTGACACTTCTTAAACTTTGTAATTCAATCGATTATTTAGAAAAACTTAAATAGATACTCCCCGGATATGTTATTGATTGACCTTAAATTTGACATTCAAAAACCGCAAAAAGTCAACAAAAGCGTATTCAGAACCCATTTAACATCTAGAAAGAATCAAGTTGTTTTAAAAAAATATTGAAAATAAAAATATATACATTTTAAATTTGCAGTCTTAAAGACTTGACTTTACCGAAATTTATTTTAAACTTTTAAAGTGGTTTTGGGACACCTTGAAATTGTGATAAAAGCCTCAATAATCTGTGCAAATGCTCATTGACCCTTTTTTTTTATTTATTTCTCTAATGACTTTTAATGACTTTGTAAGATTTTTAAATGAGCTTGATGTGAATAGGGTGACTTTAACAAATATTGCTGAAATTTGTGTTTTTGAACAAATAACATTGAAAAATATTTTAAAAATATTGAAAATAAAAAGATATAGTTATTTTTCAATACCTAGATAGTTTTGAAGACTAGAAGTGAAATTTAATTTAATTTTAATTTTTGGTATGTAAAACCCCTCCCAGATTGTGATAAAAAAACCTTAAAGTGTGCAAATGTCCATCTAAACCTTTTTTTATACTTTTTGACTGACTTTGAAAGATTTAAAAATGAGATTGATAAAGTCAATAGAGAGTTTAAAATTTGTAGTTTTTTTTTAAGCAAATAACCTTAAATTAAACCTTAAAAGATTTTGAAAATGCTTATCAACATCATTTCATTTTTTTATTACTTTTTATAACTTTGAAACACTTATAAAAGAGATTAAAGTGAATAGAGACTATAAAGACTATTACTAAAAATTGTGTTTTTGAACAAATATCCTTGAATTAACTGGATAAAATATACTTAAAACAAAAATAAATGTTTGTGAAAATTCGTAACATTAATTTGTTAAATTGAAAAAGTCTTTTTTGTAAATAATGATCCACAAATTTAAACAATATATGATTTTATCAAAATATGGTCGGTTTTTTTCTTTTGAATCAACGAAACATTACTCCATGTTCGGTTGTCTTTTTCAGAATTATTTCCGATTTAAACTGTATTAGGTAAGATGCAATAACGATTCAGAAAATGTTTGAAAATGATCGAAACAGGGTAAAAAACATAAAAAACGATTAATTTAAAATCAATATTCAATGTGATATAAGGAATAAGAGAACTCCTAACTTGTAAAAAAATACTCAAAAATATAGATGTTCAAAAAATATGTTAGGATAAAAGCCCTTAATTTTAAGTTACAATAAACAGGAAAAGTTTGATAGTTTTTAATTATTAAAAGGCAGCTGAAATGTACATAATA